TATAAAAGAATTTGGATTCGACGATCTGCGGTCTGTTAGGTTGCGTCTCCTTCATCGTCCTGTCGCCGCTTCTGCGCTCTACTCTGTTCGTAGGGGCGTCGTCTGCTTCTGCGCTGTTTCGTAGTGCTCTTAACGCCTCTGTTCAGTGTTCTTAATGCCACACCTCCATCTATTGGGGATGGTTTCGAACAGATCGTATGCTGCTGCTCTTGCGGGTGCCAACGCCGCCTCACTCCACACCTCAGGTACACCTAAATCGTGCTATTTCCCTCATTCGTTTTAGTGGGCAAAGGACATCAAGAAACCCGGTAGGAAAAATGGGAAGTCTACCATCTTTTTTATAGAAGCTAAAGGTATTCAACTTGTTTCCTCCTGTCGTCTGAATTTGGTTGAGAAATTTCTATATGGTCATCCCAAAATGGAGCTTATTTGCAAGAAATTTGAACTTATGCACCTTGTTGGAGAGTGGAAAATTGGACTATTAAATGAAAGACACATTCTTATACAAATTAATAATGAAGAGGATTACACGCGTTTATTTGCTAGAAGGATAATCTGGATTGATAACAGAGCAATGAAAATTCTCAAATGGTCTATAGATTTTGACCCTCATACGGAACCTCCGATCATTCTGGTTTGGATTCGCCTCTATGGTCTGAAATTTCATTATTTTACTTAAAAAGTTTTGTACGCTATTGCCTTAGCTTATGGGAAGCCACTCAAAACGGACATTCCTACTTTTAATCTTTCTCGTCCATCAGAAGCCAGAGTACTTAGTGAAAGAGACATCACTTTATCTATTTTTGAGGAAATTTGGTTGGGTACACAACATCATGGGTATTGGCAAAAGGTGTAGTAATTGGACATTTTCCTTCGTATTGTTCAAACTGTCGTATGTTCGACTACTCCAGTTCTCAATGCCACCATCTACATCCACACTTCAGACCAAAAAAACACAGTGCTCCGCCAGAGACAGTGATTTCATCTCCTCCTGATCAACTTCAAGTTATTGACAATATTGATCATCAAAAGAATGCCCCCGAAGACGTCACTATTCTCGCAGGCAATTTTACAACCATTCAACCGCCTCTGGAATCTCCTATCATGGGTGAGAAGGAGATTCATCAGACCTCACTTGCCCTAGAACCTATCACTCTTATTACAGGTTGCAATAGTTCTATTGTGTCACTACCGCCTCATCAGGTCGAGCAAGTTGTAACTGTCACTCAGGATCATGAGGATCATGTGCAACAACCTACACCTGTCCAACCAACTTTGGAACAATCTATTGATCAAATGAGTCAATCATCGGATGAGGAATGACAGGTCTATACATCGAGGAGAAAGAAGAAGAATGGAGACCTACTTGAGCTCAGGAATTTGATGGATGATACTTTGGTTACTTCGGGCAATGACATTCACCTTACTAATTTGTTAGCAGACTCAATTCCAAGAACTAGTGACAGAGGGAGAAAAGTAGGACGTCCCTAGTACTTTTGCGCCCTTTGGTGGCTTTTTGGTTTTTTATCTTTATGTATATTTGTTTTATTTGAGTTTTGTGTGTTTTGTTTTGTGTGAGGTAAGATTTTAAGCTCTCTCATACAACCTTTCTGTATCTTTTCCATTTTTTACTAAATTAGCCCTTGCGCTTTTTTCCAAAAAAAAACATATATATAAAATGATCAGATGATATATAAAAGCCTCATTTGAAAGTCTAATTTTGCCGATGGTTTTCAAAAATCAAACCGTTGATATAGGCAAGATATCATCAACAAACCTACACTCCTAAAATTAAAACTATCTCCATCAAATGCAAAAAGATTTATGCAGCCGATTGATGAACAAATAATCTTTAAAAGTCTCAAAAGCATCGATGCCACTAACTTAATGATGTTAGAAAATGATTTTGATACTACAATAAAAGATCATATAATCATAGTCTAATTATCTAATAATTCTCCCAACACAAGAAAACTAGAGGCAAACGAGACTAATAACAATAACAACAACAACAACAACAACAACAAGTTTTTATCCCACTAAGTGGGGTCGGCCGCATAATCCTTTTTCTCCATTGACAAACAATAATAATGATAAAAAAATTATTCTATGCAACAAGCGCATAAAGAAAGTTTAGCTCAACCTTATTGAAAGAAAAAAATTAGAGTTATTATGGACTGAATGTCAGTTTTATGTATCGTAATATAAGAAGAGTACAAAATAAAGTTAATAAAGAACAAATTTTCTCAATTAAAAGGATATAAAATAATATAAAACATAATTTCTTAATCTTGTACTATCCAAAGATGGCATTTTCAAATGTAGTACATTCCTAAAATAAAAATCATCCTAAAGTCAGAGCATCTATATAAGCAAATTCTATATCACCACAAAGATTGAGAGAGATGAAATGATCTCAAGGCATTATTAAAGATATCAACCAATTGTTCTTCACTGAAGGCTTGTAAAGTAATTGTTTCTTAAATAAGACAACATTACGATAAAATGACAATCCATTTTAATGTGTTTGGTTCTTTAATGGAAGATACGATTTTTTTGCAATGTAAATATCTACTTATTATAATTAAGGACATGAGTTGTTTGACTGGGAAGCCAAATTCTTCTCATATAATTTTAATCCACATTATTTTACAATCAGAGTGAACAATAACCCTATATTCAACTTCAATAATAGATCTAGCCACAACAGTCTGCTTTTTAATTTTCTAGGAAACTGAAATATCCACCCACAAACACAAAGGTAATAGCATAAAATAGAAATTTGATCCTCAATATATCCATCTTACTTTGCATCAAATAAAACTTCAATCTTTAACTTATTATGTTTCTGATAAACTAAATATTTCTTTAGGCGATTAATTAATATATCTAAAAATTTTTAAGACAACATCCCATGTTTGACATTTTGCACACACTAACAAACAACAACAACAAAGGATATACCAAGTTCAAGTCTAGGGGTGGATAGGTAAGTTTTTTTGTTAAGGCATCATTAGCAAGAAGCATTATGCAGGATTTATAAATGGATGCAAACGCAGAGCATGGCTGCAGATGCGGAGAAAAGAACTCCAGAAAATCTAGGCTCATGCATTGGACATAACAAGATTTACTTCGTCGAACCAACTAACTTGTTCAATCCTTTTGAAATGTGCAATGGAAGATGAAAGTACAATTTACCTTTAGCGATCCATTTCAACCCAAAATAATTTCAATAAATTTGGTCTAAATTTCAAATGCTCAAACAAGACCTTTTAAAACTAATAACATGGCTGTTAAGGTGTGCATTTAAAGTACATTATGCTAAAAGAAAGCAAAACAGTTTACCAGCAAATTCTGCCATCAAAAGCTCAAGTTCTCCTGTTGTTTTCCTTTCCGTTGAAGAATGTAGAAGGGGTAATATGCTTTCGTGCCTTTCTAGTGCAGGAAGGTTGCGTACATAATCGAGCTGCCCAGAGACATTTCGAGAAGGTGGATCTTTGTCAAACAAGCTCAGCAGCGGTCTCACTTGATCCTTATGAGAAGACAATGGGTTACCACTACTAGGATGTCCATTCGATGTAGGATCCACATGCTTTATAGGTTTGTCTGTAGAAGTTCTGTTAACAGAATCAGTCGCCCTCTGTTGCCTAAGAAGGTCCGTTTCTAATCGAGAAGCATTGGATTTCCACAAACCCAAATTCTCAAGTTCCTCTGAAGCTGCAGCTGAAGACCCTCTGTTAGTTATGTGCCCAGAATTTTCTGTAACCATTTCAGATGCCTTGGATAAAGAAGCATCCAGTGGAGCATGGCCTGGATGATTCTTATCTGCTTCACCAAAAAACTGCTTCGTCTCCAACACAGTTGCAACAAGACTAGAAGTAGAAGAAGCTGATAATTGAAGTGATTCAAAAGCTCCAAGTGAGTGAGGAACATCCAATAGACCAGATCTGGGTCGTGCCATTACACCATTTTGTAAAGATGCTAAACGAGCTGCCTCATTCATGCTATGAAGAATGTTGACAAGTCTAAGAAGAATTCCATTCTTGGCAGCAATACGGCAGAAGTCGTTTTTAGGAGTGGAATGTTGAAGCTTAAATACATGCCAAATGCCGTCTATAGCAAGATGAACCATTTCCCTGGTGATTCACATCAATTTGTCAAACTATAATTTCTATAAATTTTAATGAAGAGCGAAATACAACCCTATAAAAAGAAAGTGCATAGTGATACAAGCATACTTCTTATTATATGAAAAAAACTAATTACATACCTATACTTCGCATAATCAGCCTCAAGAAAACCCACAAGTACAGGTATCCCCCGACAGGCAATAAACATCTGCAATGTTAAGGTACTGAAAAGAAGAGAGAATTTCTAAACTGAACTCGAAAAAGAGCTTTGAAGCTAAGGTAGTACACTAATGGAAATGAAAAAAAATAAAATCTAAACCTGGATTGGCAAAGCTGCTGAAGAAAGAACGCTGCTAGCATTCTTACTTCTCTAGGGCGATCAGGTACTGCAAAGTTCATTACCACTGGTATCTGCAATTGGAGTTCACGACCAACATAAAGAGTATTATAAGAATTCCTTGATCAATTTATATAACAAATATGTTCATCTTACAAGGCCCACAAGACAAGCATTTTCTTGGAAACCAACATTATCCATAACAATGTGGTTGATAATCTCAAGCACGGAGCATATGACCTGTAGAGAGATCATTTTATTTCAACCACCAATCAAACATTTTTGCAAAAAAAATGCCTATGAAAGCCAATTAACTTTTAACCACTTCAACCCAACCCAGTTCACTTGGCCCACAAAGAAAACAAAGACAGGAATGAAAATATTGACATAATCCAATAGAGCATGGGAATCCCTGACCTTCCCATTAAACTGGTTAATCTTATGAAATAATTAGAGAATTTTCATAATCATCAGAGAGTTACCAAAAATACTTACTCGGTTTCTTGGAACTTCAAGAAGATCAATAAGAGGAAGAAACCCATGCTGGGATACAAATACATGCTTTTGCTCTGGACGCTGAACAAAGAATGAGACTAGTTTCTTGCATGCAGACAAAATTACATACTCCGGTTGCTCTGGCTTCAGCAATCCAACCAATTTGCTGAACTCTACAGACTAGAAAAAAAATTGAAATAGAATAGCCAAGAAGCAAGGCAACGACTTGTCAATGTTTACAGGCATTAAAATAATTGCAGAGCCAAAATTTCAGTACAAAAGTCAGAAAAAAAATATTTGAAGTCTCAAATATCTTATCAGCAACAGAAAACTTTTAAACAAAAAAATGTGCGCACAAAGACAGTAAATTATCAAAAATCAGAAAGAATTTACTTAACCATTTAAACAAAACAAAGTTATCTACACCGTCGAGCATCAAGCACAGCATCATCCACCAAATATCATGATTCATTTTTTAAATCACCTCATTACTAACAGAAGGAATCCTGCAAGCTTTCCAAATGAACAATCTAGGATTGCAAAGCATATTCCAGCTTCACCTATAGAAGAAAAGAAGATAAAAAACAGAGGTGGAACGAAGATTTTGATCCTTTGTTCCTAGGAAATAGCTTCATACTGTATCCGTTACAAAGGACATCAGCAGGTCAGATTCACATTTGTGTTCATCTGCCTCAAAATTTTAGGAGCATGTTTTTTGTAGAAAAATATGTGCCCAAAATGAAAGCAAGAACATAGGGATGACAAATCACAAGTAAATGCAAAATGGATCAAGTACTACACAAAGGAAACCAAATTTTGTATAATTCGGCTTAAGTAAGCCTATGACGACTACCACACAAAATAATAGAGCTTTCACCATATCATAGAAAAAATAGACAGTCAAAAAAGGAGATCATAATAAATTTCTCTTCTTTTCTCTATCTTTACTGCAATAAAAACAAAACCCAAGAGAATAGAAGCAATTTAGTGTAAACACCGATCATTTACCGAGGGCACCATTGAAACTCTCCTCATTACACCATTTTAAATATTTCAAAGCTCTTCATCAATTACTCTTCTACATTTGTCAACAACCTTGTCGAGACCCACCAACTACCTCTAAATAAGATGCCCATAATAAACTATCAATAAGAAAACCATTAAAGAAGATCATCCATTCATGCTGCCAACAATATTCTTTTCATAAAGCTACAAGCGGCAGGTTTGATTTGCAAAAATAATTAAGGTGAGGTGAGTAATAAATTTGAAATTAGGTTAAATAGCTTGGTAGAGTTTTACTTGGCAAGTAGAAGATAAGTTTAATCTTCAAAAAAACTAATCTCCTTTCTAAGCTTAAATTTCTGATGCCAGAAGCGGATAAAATTTGTGCAACACCAAGAAACATCCTAAGCTTGCAAAGCCCCAAAAGGCTCAATATTGCGCAAGTTGAAGAGTTGACATGCCTCCTACATGAAGTTCTTTTAAATTCTATTTTGTACTGGAGCACAAATTGAGAATTAAAACAAGGCACCTGATGCATTAAGCTGCTGTCACTTGTTGATTACTACTAAGCAATTAAAAGAAGTTGGATTCGAGGAGCATAAGGATCTATATGCCTGATGAAAAATTTCAAGAGATTTTAGCTTGTTATCAGGAGAGTCCTTCGGAGTAGTATCACAGATCTTATGGTTATTTATGCTTTAAAAACAGTTTATGAATTTCTAGAAGTTCATTCAAGGAAGCTATTTCATAAGAGTGTCGTAATGAATGAATAACATGATAATATGTTATGGCCAAGTCTCATTCCTTAGAGAAAAATAATTTTTATTCACCTGGATTGATATGAGACATGAATAGGTGGCATCTTAGATGATACAGAGTTTGTCACTTAGCTAAGACCTTACGACAGAAAATAAGATTGTAACATTTCACTTCCTGTTCCAAAGGGACCTTGGTTAAATGTGAGCATAGATTTTGTTTAGTCTCCCCTGGACACAGTAGAGCAAAGATTTGATTACGGTGGTAGTGGACTGCTTCTCCAAGATGAATCATTTTGATAATTGATGTCTAACATTTTGCAGATTTATATTTCAGAGAAATTGTTTGTCTTCATTAAACGCCTCTGACAATCACTTTAGATTGGAACGTGAAAATTTCAAAGCCATTTTTGGAGAACCTTATGAGGTAAGCCGATTACAAAACTCCAATTCAATTTAATAACACAACCACAAACAAACAAGAAAATGTGAAGAATTACATTTTGAAAAATCTCTTCAGATTTTCGGCGAGAAAATAAAATTAGACAGTGAGATTTGGTTCTTCATCAAGTTGAGTTTGCCTGGAAGTCCACCATTCACACATTTGCGGTTTGTGTCAATATTTCCGGCTAATGAGTTTATCGAAGCAGAAGCTAGAGTCAGAAAGTTCAATCACACACAAGCAAGGGAGAAAATTGCTAATCAAAACACAAAATATCAGAAGCAGACTAATAGTTCAAGGAAAGCTATGATCTAAAAAGGTGATATGATGTGGATCAAATTAAAGAAGAGATTTCCCACACTGGAAAGCTCAAACTTAAAGCTGATGATCCTTCAAAATTGTTAAGAAGGTAACAATACATACAAGATCGATCTGTTGAGAGGCTAAAATATTTTTATTACCTTTAACGTCAGTAACTTATTGTCATACTATGCATATCCAAAAGCTTCCAGAGAAAAAGATGAAGCCTCTTCTATCAGAGGATACTGTCGAGGGAACATCTCATCAGATCAGGACGAGTGTGACAAAAGACTCACAATTTAGTATCAAAAAATCTCATTCTTAATGGTGACTGTCAGCCCTTATGGGCCCATCTAATTTATTTGATTTATAATTAAGGTTTAATTTTATCTTAGTATAAGTAGATGTGTTAGAACTTGGATAGAGCACTTGCTTTAGTTGATGTTATTTGAAAATTATTTTCTCCGTTTTCTTCCAATCTAAGAAGTGCAACTTTTTCTCCAAGTAATAAAGCTATATCTTAAAAAGAACAGGTAGTGACTCCTGCCTAACATACCTCATTGAAGCATAATAACACCTATAAATAATAGAAATTAGAAAGTAGAATATGTAAGGATCAAAATAAGAAAGATAATAGAAAATGAAGGCATGAAATACACAAGAAATAAAAAAGGAGAGTAACATAAAAGGAAAGAAAATAGGACATAAAAGGGGCATTATGTGGGAGGTTGACCCTGCCCCTTTTGGGAGGCTGATCGGTCGAGCAAGACTGGACAAGGCAGGGGTCGGTTTAGCCGGCCCCCCTTCCCAACCCCACGTCAGATAGTGTTTAAATGTTGAGTAACACTCAATTCTCCTTGTCATAGATCATATAGTCTGGTCTCAATCTCAAATAACTATAAAGAGTTTTCAATGCTAAAGTAAATTTCATGTGTAGCCTCGCATCTCTTTGGTTGTCCTATAAAAGAGAAAGTTTTCTCCAATCCCTGTGGTCAAAAAATTTATTAACTATGATATAACCATATGACCATCATTTCTCTAGGCTCAATATTTGGAATCTAACATTTCTAGAGCTGAAATTTCACCTGTGAATTGTCCACATTTACCTCTGCGAAAAATGTACATTAAAACAGACAGTGACCATTGAAGAAAATCATGGTCATGCAGTTTATAACTCGTGATTATGTGAGGAGTTATCAAGTGCGATAGAGACTAAAAACATATGCTCAAATCTAGAGGTGACTTCCGAGGAAGAAGATTGTGAGGCCATGTCATGTTTAGCCATGATAAGATTGTTAATCCTAAATCGAGAATACCTGTTGCTCAAACAAAAGTAAGACGAGGACCCTTACTTCCACTGCTCCACTGGACGAGCAAACAAGAACTAGAGGGAGGTTCCCAACTTTCAATTTCCACGAGTTCAACAAGTTGAATCGATCATAGGAATTGTATCGTCCTCTACTTTAGCGAACCGAAGAGGAAGAACAATTATGTGATCTACTCGAACTATTTGATCAGAGTGATCTGGTAGATCAGAAGAGACAAACAACAAAGGATTGCGATTTATTTGAGCGGAAGAGACGAATGATGGAACGAGTCTAGAGAAAGAGCCGAACGACGGAGCATTGTGATCTCATGCATACGTGAGGAGACGAAGTAGCGTGGAGGACGAGGATTGCTGCTTGCTAGAAGTTCTGCAATATGTTCAAACGAAAGAGAGAGATCACCAGAATGAGAGTGGAGGATGGATTGTTGCTTGTGATCAAGAAATCTGTCACTTATAATGGTTCTCCATAGGAAGGTGAAATCCCTAAAGTCGTCTCCGTGAGACGAGACAACGATTTGTTCAAACAAAAGTAAAGATGACGAAGCAATGGCTTGTGCATATGATAGGAGACAAAGTAGCATAACTCATGCCTCTACCTCCTCCCTCTCCCTCACATAGGCCTTGCTCTCCCTCTCTTTCGCTCTCCCACGCTTCTTTCTTTCTATATATATATATATATATATATATGCATGTATGTGTGCATATATAATAGTGTGGTCGGTATACCAGTCCACAAAATAAGAAACAGAAACATATTTACTGAAATATCTGAAAGAAAATAAATTATTCCTAATCAAGTATGGTGATTGGCAATTTCCTAAATGAAGGAATACATACAAAGAAATATTGTGATGACAAATGACATTCTTAGTCTAATCAGCATAACCTTACAAAAACACTCACGTGGACTTCTACTAGCCCAAAAATTGGGCAATTAGATAGTTGCACTAAATTTTTTTGGCTATTTACACAGTAAACACCCTCTTAGCACCATTTTCAAATTCTCACCAAAATAAGAAAATCCTAACCCCCATATTTTCTGTTTTTGTTAAATACCAATGGTTTTACCGTGGCTAGTGCAAATACACTAGTTTGATGGTTCAAAAAAAAAAAAAAAACAAATGCTAGGGTTGGAACTTGCTTCACCGAACACCTGAAACCTTCCGAAGAACTCCTTGCTGCAGTGACTTGATTGTCCAAGAACACCTTCAACTTGCTGTAATTGCTGCCGAATGCATTCAGCCCAAGGACTTGGACTGTCTTGCAAGAGAGTCGAACACCACAAGCTGGATTGTCGAACTCTTGCTACAGTGTCGAAGAATGCTTGCGGTCTGGAGTATTGAATCCTTGTAGCCAAGAACCTTGACTACCGAACTCTTTGTAGCCAAGAGCACTGGAATGCCTAAGAAGAAGCTTGGACTGTCGAATGGTTGCTACAAGCGTGGAGAATCAACTTGTTGTACAGGAGAAGGAATGTCAAATTCCTCCTGATCTTGGACACCTGTAGGCTGCTTGACAGTCGAACATCTGCAGAACTATTCGAACAGCTCCTGTAGCCAAGATGTGGGAAAAAGCAGCGAGCAAAACAAGGAAAAACAGAAAGAAATCTGCAAGAAATGAGATGCAAGAACACAAACACAAGAACACAACTAATTACGCGGTTCGGTCCATAGACCTACATCCACGGGAGGGAATCGCCAACAAATTCACGAAGGCAAAGAAGAATTACAAGGCTTTTACATCAAGGAATGAACACACCTCTAGATCTCTCTCTCTCTCTCGAAACTATCTTGATACAAGATCTAACACTCCTCCCTTAATTCTTGAAGCCTCTCCCTTTCTTCTTCTTCTTGGACTGATTTCCTTCCCCTTCTTGGTTCTATCTTCCTCCTTGCAGTAGCCTCCTCATTCTCTACAAGCCTCCCCTCCCAAGTAGACCATAGAAGCTTCCATAGTTCTTTAATAACTTCCATGGAATTACAAATCTGTCCCTAGCCTTAGTCAGCTAATTGTGAGTCAATTATAACAGCTAGCTTTGTAAATAGCTAAGATTTGGGTGCTGTCGCTGTAATAGTCCAAAAATATAACCAATAAAAGGAGAATTTATGTAATCAAGAACTAACATTTAAAATGCGATTTAGCAACAACCAAATGATAATGGCCAAATAATTTAAACAAATTTCAAATAAAGATTGAACTATCAAAAAAATATAGTGCAAACATGAATCTCAAGTGCGCCCGTAAAAAGCTTTAAACTGGTCATGATATATATGCATATATATGTATGTCTGTATGTATGTATATTAACAATTACTTATTCATGCAGCACACCACATTAAACAACTAGAAAATACATGTTTATAAACATTAAAAGCTCTACATTAGGAGAAAATCAATACCTGAATAAGAAAAATGTTCTCTGCTGGCAAGTTTTCCTCGAAAACCTTCCAAAAGAAAGACAATAATTTCAGGTCAATATAATCACTGAGATCTCGTTCTCATGAATTCATGAGTCCATGAATACTTTTTCTAGCAATACAAATACTTGCACTTGCATAATACGAAAACCCACAGCATGACATTCATTAGATTCAAGCAAATACACCATAAAAATAAAAAGATTCACCGGGCCATCAATATCAATTACATCCATCACATCCTCCAAGAGTTTTCCACCCGTTCGTTCTTTAATTTCATTTTCCGCATGGTTCTGGGCCATCCTAGCTTTGAGTTCCTTAGCTAGGTTACTTTTAGCAGCATCACATAATACATTTCCATGATCGGTTGTAGAAGTTGAAGCTTCTGCAGCTTGATCTCCTGTAATCCTACCAAGTGGCTGAAATAAATCATCCAGCAATGCATCTCCAGGTGCATCCCTGAATCTACTCAAGTCATGCACTCCAGTTGCAGCGGATGGATTTGTAACCTAGAAATATGTTACTAAAACTTGTTAACAAGACAAATATAAATAGCATGCATCTCAAAACTTAAACCTACACTAATTTGAATACCATACTAGTTTAAGACATTTGAAGATCTGAGCTATTCAATTTTGCTGATAAATGACAAACTATAATTTGCATAAATATGACATAGCTTTAAATTTAATAAAGATCTAATTGTACCTACAATAGCGACCCTAAATCATCTATGTTACAAGCAGCATTTGGAAATAAGTTACCAGGCTGTTTAATAAGAGCAAAGACAATAACTTTACCATTCCCTCACTGAGTGTATTCTAATTGAACCACTTGACTCACCTTCGGAGAAGCAAATTTTAGCATTCCAGCCCGAAAGGAAAATAAGCTACTTTCATCATGGCCGGAGCTTCCTTCATCATCATGCTCGGCATCTAAACCATTTTCTGCAACTCCCGCAGTGATGCTAACCAGCCCATCTGCTGAATCAGTGGAAGAGTCATTCAATATTTGTGGATCAGCTATTTTTGAATTGGCAGTTGAAACTTCTTTAACAGAAGATGAGCCCATTGGTTTCTGATGTAAAACTAAAGTTGGATCTCTAGCAGAAAGATCATCTCGCAAACAATCAACACCTTCTGAGATGACATCTTGAGTAATGTTGTTCTCTCCACTTTGATCCTCATCAGGTCCATTTATTTCCAAAGAGCTGGAATCCAAAATATTGCTTTCAGATTTTACCTACGTCACAGTAATATTGAAGAGATATTAATACACATTAAGAAAATCAAAGTTATCATTGCAAAAAACCATAAATTCACTAGAAGACATCGTTGCCTTCATTACAGGGCATTTTCACTCGCTATTTGAATTCCAACGCCATTTAAAAATCTGATGAAAAACTAAATCAGATGTTGGTGATCCGAACAAGTGATATATACTATTAAGATAAAACTTCCCCAAGTTGCCAGAGATTGAAATATCCCCATTTTTAATTTTTAAAAGGCGAGTAGTGGAAGGCATTAGGAACCCAAATGAAAGTCAAGTAATTTATTGGTTAACCACAGATCCTCGTTCCATCACATAGCATTATCAAATTCAGTAATACAAGGAAAACATATAATCACATTTGCCTTCAGGATTCCAAGGTAAGATCCAACAAAAACGGCACCTTAGCAAACAAAGCCAAAGGAATGTAGATGATAGGATCTCAACCAAAGATGCAAATAAATCAAAAAACATACAAGCAATTCAAAATGATGAGGATGTTTCTGTGCACTTATGCTAAGGAATTTCCTTTAAGCATCTGTAACAAGTATTGAAATAGTGTGCGTACTTTCTCCAAGTTGGTATCATCACCCTTCATTGTACCCTCAGTTGTGTCACCCCCACCAGATATATTCCCCAAAGAGTTGTTATCCGTAAGCGAAGCATCTTCATCTATGTTCCTGCAACAATAGAACTCCAGTGTTCAATGTATAATGGTGCATCAGTTAATAGTCCGTAACTGTCTAATCCAAATAAAACTCAAAACAGGTTTTGCTAAGATAAAAGGTTTTCATAAACAAAATATATTTGGCAACAGCTGTAGTTTAAGAGGTCTCTTAAAAAATTGTCATAAACATGAGTAAAACAAAGTACAACAGCTAAACAGATGTTTGCGTAGAAATTATTAAAAAAAATAATAAATATAAATGAAAGAGTAAAAGCATGAATATACATAACATAGCCTGTCGATCGATGTTTGGATGGAAATAGGATGACAATTTTGGAATATGATATGCAATTTATAGTACGGAAAACAATATATTTCAAATAACGTATGAACTACCTCAAATGATAACTCATGAACAAGTAAAATAAATCATCATAGCATCAAACATAAAGCTTATGAATACCTATTTAACAGGAAACCAGAGGTTTTCAGTGAAAGAAAGATGGAGAAAGTATGTGCGAGAATCCAAAAAGACAATTGATTGGGTTAAGAAAAGGGTAGGAGCGGTATCAATTAAGTTCAATTGCTCTTGAACATGTTGATAGAAATGAGACAAGTTTCCACAGAAATTAAGACAGAAATAATAGATCTATTCCGTCAGTACCAAATTAAAATGATAAAATTTCGAATACATAAAAGATAAAAACCCACAATTTGAAAGGTAGGCAATCTCTCCCAAACTTTAACCTTAAGATTCAAGTCAACAATCACACATAACCTAATCCTAACCATATTAAGCCTTATTTATACCCCATAATAGTAATTAACAAGTTTTGCAACTAACAAAGTTTTCAAATTATTTTGCGAACAACATTATAGGCACTTGACTCACATTACTCCACTCCCAAAAAGGCAACTTGTCCTCTAGATGAAAGAAACTACTATGGAATCAAGCAGTATGCCTCATATAAGATTTTATAATCTGACAATGCTTTCCATTTAATCAACACTTCTTTCTCACTTGTTGATTCCTGGTGCACTCATTTTAACTCAAGTGACCCCAAGAGAGCTTTCTTATCCTCCTCCTCAGATGTGCCCAACGTAGAAAACATAATATAGTGGTGTAACCATGATCTTGTTGTGCACAATTTCTCCTAATATTTGATCATTTGCAGCGCCCTTAGTGACTCCCTGAACTGGCCTCAATTAATCGAATGCATTGGACGAAATCAACAATTGTATTAAATATTGGACCTATTCACAGATGTTGCAGTATGTCCCTTCGTTGAATTCGTCCAAATTCAACATCAGCATACTTGTAGTTTCATACAGGTGAGGTCTCTTGATGCTCTCACTGGGAGTTTTTTCTATAAAATACTCAAAAAAATGCTTCATAATGTTAATCCAATGCATTTGAAAATGTTCTTGCATTGTAGTCATCCACTCTCCATCTGTTAGACGCAAAAATATCTCATTTTCTGCTACAAACAACATTTTATTCACCAAAATTAACATCCAAGAGAATTTTGTCACTCTCACTAAGAATAACAATGATAGTTTTTGGATCATTGCAAAGTGTTGTCAACAAGTCTTTTAAGTCGACGTGCAGCTTAAGCTCCATCTCCTTATAATTTGATCGCCTCCTCTTCTACCATAAGATTCAACCAACTCTACTAGCCTTGAATTGAAACCTTGGGGTATCTGTATGGGCTCACAGTGATAAAAGAAACCCTGGGTCTCAAGTTTATTACATGCTCGGATTTCCTCTGAGGCGACAATCTGTATGGAAATTAGAAAACTTCTGTAAATTACTGTAGGAGCGATTGAATTGGTGTCAGAATCTCTGCCAACTCCATGTCATGTGCTTCTTTCATTCTATTCAGTTTGATCAAGAATCCTAACAATGCGTTTTATATTTTCCTAACCATGGTCTTGAGTGTCACAAGATCTTACACGAACTAGGGTCACCGCGAAGCACCACCATCTTATCTCCCTTCTGAAATTCCATTGTCAAAAAAAGTTTTCAATTCATTTTAGTCTCCCTAAAGGTATGCAATTATTGCATAATCAATATCACGTAAGTGCTCCCTAAATCCAAGGGAAAAAATCTTTCATCACCTGAATGCCTTGCAATGTTCAAATCACCCCTATAAAAACTCTCTTGCTCTTCTCCATGTATCACGTCTCCATCATAACTCCAAAACTTTTTGTGTCAATCATCTCAAGCAGTAATTGTTTCACTACTTGAGCATAGATGAAGTTATGGGTGGCACCACTATCTACCGACACCACTAAATCCTGCTGCCCAATATGCCCCCAAAATTTTATAATGTGATTCGGTGTTAATTTCATCACCGAGTTCAATGAGACTTTTGTTCACATTCAAGTGAGAGTGTTCCTCCTATATCATAACCTCTTCTGTTTCTTCATCTTTTATCTTCTCGTCACACACCGAAACATTGTGAGAACTTATAAGGTTTGATCCTTGCAATGTTGCTTCGGGTAAACTTCTCCTCACACCGCAAATATAACTTTGGTTTGTTTCTCCTGAATCTATCTCAATAAGACATTTGAATGTCGCCCCTAGTCATAGCCTATTATTCCTCCCAATGGAGCCTCACTCTAGAATCACATTGTTTGAGTTTTTGGCATCGTTGCGGTTGTAGCATTTCAATAGGATGCTCCATTTGTGCTACTCTATTAGTACGTTCCACTGCATTTGTATCTTCAACCAACTGAGCTAAATCCAGAGTGTCCTCTGATCCTCACAATCTCAACAGAATAAGTGTCACTCGAATCTCTGGCTTCAACCCCTTCATGAAATTTTCTTCCAACACTATTTCTGATATTCCTCTCAAAAGGTCACATAGAATCTCAAATTTCTCCATATAATCCAAAACAAACCCTTTCTGGACCAATGCAAAAAACTGCTAGTGTAAATCCTCTTCTCGCGTGGTTCTAAAACACTCCAACAATCAGTCTTTGAATTCTCATATGTTCTAATTTACTGACATTATTCTCTTCATTGATGCCACACTAGAGCCTTACCTTCCAAACAAAGAGCCGCCACCATCAATTTTTCTTCCCCTTCAGTCCATTAACAGCAAAGTATCTCTCCACATGATAAACCCAATAATTAGCCTCATCAATTGACATCTTTAACTTCCTTATGCACGAGTATCCACAATTTCTTCGATCGAAATTCGTTCCACCCATGAAGTGGAGTTGGGTTCCTTTCCTCAACCCATAGTAATTTCTCTTCTTCCACAATTCTCGTTCATCTCATAATCAGTTCACTCGTCACCATAAGCTCCTTAATCACCTTTCACCTAAAAGGCTGCTGCAACAAAAAACATTGGCACAGTTGGATGCAGCCAACTAGATTCTCACCCAACGTGGTTCCTTCTTCTAGGCCGAAATCCTTTGAATCAATCTTCTCCAACCCCAAATCATACGTCTCGTTCTGCTTGTTGCTGCTCATTTCAGTCGTTAAGATGTAGCGCTATTCCTTCCAAATAATGCAGCTCGTTCTCTCTTGATTCATTTGCTCGATCTCTGACAATATTTGCCCTAATGCATTGTGAATCCTTCCGATTGTTGCCGCTAATGTCCGCTCTAAATGTTGTCGCTCGATCCCAAGGCAGGCAACGGTATGGTTGCATGAAACTCCATGATCTTATTCATCATTTCTTTCAGGGCATGAATCTCCCATTCATAGACGAGAACCACCCCTCCATGGACGAAAAATGCTCCTCCATTTCAAATCTGATTTGGCTTTCCTCATCCTCTAATTTCTCCTTCAAAGCATTCACTTTCTTAGTCGTCATTAATCCTAGGATGCATTTCGATCACAAAGGCAAAATCCCTGTGCGTCGCGATCCCAATGTTCGCTTTCCAACTAGCTCAAATCGCAACTGTATCGTGAGAATCGGTCACAAAGGCGACACGAAACTCTTGTACACCGTAATCATGTCGCCAACTTCCTAGCTAGCTCCAATTGCTATTGTATTGTAAGGTTTGGTCACAAAAGTGACTCAAAACTTCTGTACACCGTGATCTTGATCACGAGGTTTGGTAACAAAGGCAACACTGAACTATTGTACACCACGATCCCAACGTTAGCTTCCCAAAAATTTCAAATGCTCTAATACCAATTTGATAGAAACAGAACAAATTTCCGTAAAAATTAAGGTAAAAATAATAGATTTTATTTCACCTGTACAAAATCAAAATGATACATACCCAAATAAATAAAAGATAAACATATATTAATCGAGAGGTAGGTGATCTCTCCCAAATCCTAACCCTAAAATTCTAGACATCAATTACACAACCAAATTCTAAACATGTTAAGCCCTATTTTGCTCCCCACAATAATAACTAACAAATGACTAAATTATCATTTTAGTCTTGCGCCTAACATGAGTTTTCAATTTATTTAGCAGACGATGTAGTAAGCACCAGTCTAACACATGTCTACCTGTTGTGATGTCTCAAGTGTAAAGAGGCTTTTTCATCCAAAAAAAAGATGCCAAATTTTGCATCCGTCAAAAGCATGGGAATAGAAGAATATTCAAGGAAAGTAAATGGCGCGGGAACCTTCCCATTTGATCGGGGGAGTAAAAGTGAGTTTCGTTAGGATCAAGGGATAGACATGATCGTGTGAGGTAATAGAGTGTCAAAGTTTGACATTTTTTCTTTCTTTTACTTTCTAATTTTTTTCTCATTTCTCCATTTCTAATTAGATCATTTGCCATTATGGAGCTTGTATATATGATATATGATTGCTATTTCTAGAGACTTTTATTATTGTTAGTGTGTTTAGAAACTTTGTTCTTCATTTTATGCACTTGAGAATGTTGTATAATTTTTCTTTTGCAAATGGTGTCTGTAATAGGGTTCGGGTCTAACCCAAAACTGTTAGGCTCGAACCCAACCAAATATTAAACGTGTCCAAATCCAACCCAAACCCAACCCTCCATCAACATGTTGAACATAACCCGACCCGTAAAACCCGTTTAACATAAGATATAATAGCTATTTGAGATAATTTTGGGCGGAATTCGGATCAATTTCAGTTTGACAGGTCGATTTTGAGTTGACGGGTCAGTTTTAACCTGACATGAAAAATTAACCTGAGCCCGATACGAAAAATTAATTGGGTGAAGCCAAACCTAAGTATTTCGAGTAGATTTTGGGTCACATTGACGTGTTAGGTTAAATTTTGACATTTCTAGTCTATAGCTTGCTCAAAAACACATGGCGGATCTCCTGGCCCTCATACTTCATTGATTCACCATTTGACTACTAAATTCAATTCAAATAGTTGTCAAATGCACCATATCTACTTTCCATTAGCAGATTTAGCTTCTTATCCCCTTCTAATGGCGTTGATACCCCATACTATCACTTCCTTCCTATTCCACCACCACCTCCAAGCTACATTTATTTCACAAACATCTTCTAGGAGCCCTAGTACGGTATCATCTGATATTAGAGCCCAGAAAACTCTAAAATTTTCAAGGATTTTGAAAGAACGAGACACAATTCTTCCAAGGAAAACCCTCAATGAGCTGTTCAGGAAAAGATTATGGAGAAAATGCTCCAATTGCAGTGAATGCTCACTGATTTTGAAAGAATGCGGCATGGGAAAGTAAGACCGTTCATTATTAACGTGGTACAATCCATCCATCATACATAGATACATACAAACATACATAACTTGCATTAAGATGATCTCATGGAAATAAAAAATGCCAGAAGCCTACATTCAAATTCGTAACATTTAGGTTCTCTGTATATCCACCGCATAGGTACACAACAAAAGCATGGCCTTAATCCACCGCAGGATGAATATTCCCAAAGGTTCAAGTAGAACAGAAATGTTTTAATTAAAAAAGATTCACAAACAAGCCATTATAGTACAATATAAAGCATCACGTTTTCCTGATAGAAATAGAAAGCTTTCATTACAGGAAAAAAAAAGGGTAGAAGTTCCAAGTCTGATAACGTCAAAGCATCCTCCGTTGTAGCAGCTACTTTAGATATTTCTTATTTTCTGGACTCAAGAACGAGTTGTTAATAACAAGGAAGAGGAGAAAGCAGACAATACATAGAAGCCATTGTTTTTACTTTTTTCCAGGTTGGGTGAGCACTTGAACCTAACCCCTGAATTCTTCACCTTGTTTCCAAAAAATGGGCAGCACATTTGAACCCATAGAAGTCATTGTTATGTTTTGAGGAATAGAAAGAGATTGCAGCATAATCAGCCAAAAACAAAATATAGCAGCAGTAACAACAAAGAATAAAAATATGCTCACCCCACATTTTTTTATCCAATAAAAATTGAAATTCAATGAGGAATATTTCTTGCAACTAGCTTCCAATATTTTGCAGAAACTTACTTTAGTGATCCACCTATTTCACGGAGAGAAGAATGCAGAGCACGTCTCGAGTTCTGAATCCATGGATGTTGTAGCAACGTTCTTGCATCTGGTCTTTGCAAAGCATCCTAAAAGCAGGGTGACAAAGTAAAAAGATTAAGTCTTAAAAGCAGGAGATATATCATTAAAAATTAAGGAAAAATTGAATTATAAATAGCCTTTTTTATGCTTACTTTTTTAAAACATTGCCGTAGAAAGTCAGTAATATCAGCAGATAGACCCTCAGGTATTGGAGGATGTGGATCCTAAGAAAACCAAAATCAAGAGCATATCACCAGAAAGGAAACTTTCTACAGAGAACTAGGAGATCCCAGCAAACAAATTTCATTAAAGAAACAAAATAAGGAATTCAAAACAAAAGCACAAAGTCATAAAAATGTGAAAAAGAAAAGGCAGTCAGTAATGGATGATCATACAAATCAGAGACTAAGATTGACAGGGATAAGGAGAACACACTGCATAGCTCTTAACATAATCAAACAAAAAAGAAAGAATCCAACAAGCAACAAAAAATTCTAAGAAGAAAAACCCAAGCAATAACAATAAATATTGAAACTAACATAGAAAAACCAGAAAAATCCAAGTAACAGACTTTTTCTGCGTCATCAAATTTTTTTATAAATCACGTTGGTACAAGAAAAGTTCCTCCCAGACGAGCGCAATTTTAAAGCAGAGCATGAACCTAAAGCAATCACAAATGACTTAACAAAAGTTAAATTTGGTGAGAAATCAAAAAATGGCTCAACTAACCCAGTCTAACAGGTCAAACAAAGTTCACACAAGCTTAAATTGATTGTATTGAAGCCTGAAAAGGCTAAAACAAGCAAAAGCAGCTGGATCTTATCGCCTTTTTTTTTTTTATCAGCTTGTGCCATACAGAGAAGAAGAAAGCCCAACCATTGATAGAGATATAAGCCTGAGAAAGGACAAAGGCATGGCATGAAAACATTTATTTCATGAATTCAATTTTGCACAAATTTCATCAAAGTGGTTTGTTATAAACCCTTTAAGGTTCCATAGAGTATAAGGTCACAGAGCTATATTTAGCTTAAAGTCTCATAAATAGGTTAAGGAATCCCTGCTCTTTAATAGTCTATTGAATCCACTCTATCAATGATACCGAAACTAGTAGGAAAAATAGTAAAAACACAAAAACAAACTTTCATTAATATTAAAATAATGGTTACAACATGACACAAATGAGAAATAACAACACAAAACATAAAATAACATTAGCAAACACCTCTTAAGTGTAATCAAATGATGATGGAGGCCAGTGAGGTGGGTTAGGATGGCTAGCGGCCGTGGTGGCAGTAATGGGGAAAGTGCATAATTGCAGAGACATCAATTATGAAGGCTCATAGGTGACCGGCGGCAGACGGAGGGGTGGTCGGAAGGTGTTGGATGGCAAGGCAGCGGTAGTAAGGTGAAGAATTGCCGGTTGGGAGTGCTGGAAAGAAGGGAGGATGACTGTACAACAAGGTAAAACTGCATGTATGGGGGGGTTGAGTGCAAGAAACGAAGAAGGGGAGAGGCCGACCGCTAAGCAGAGGGGAGGAGATAGATTAGGGAAGATGAAAGAAAATGATATATCACCGTCTCGAAGTAGAATACTGTCGGAGCACAACCACCTCCTCAGATATAGCCCTAGAACAGGGAAAATGACCCTACGCAGAAGATCTGAGAACAAAAATAGCAAGAACTGACTCCCAAAAACTAAGGACGACCATTTATAGACTTCCACTAGACAAAGGGAACTTCTACACCAAAGTGGTCGAAAGGCAAGAAAAATTTACAAAATACTTCACAGGTGCGGTAGCTTGCGAGGCTCCTTCCTAGATGATTATAGTTTGTGATCCCGCCTCTTCCCACCTTCGCGAGATCTTTCTTGTTGTCGTGCGATGGTTCGTGGCCCCTCAGCTTTGCACCTCTTTCCACCTTCGCAAGAGATCGAAAGATTCTTCTCCCGCCCCCGATGGTTCCCGGGGTGGCCTCTGAGGCAATTAACGCTCATGTCCGGGTGATGTTTTAGCGCCAGTATTAAGGTGTTGTTAGTGCCCTGCGCTAGGGGTGCAATTAGTGCCTATGTCAGTCTCTCAAAGCTAGGGAGCTTCGACTTCATAGGTCGAAGCTTCCGCTTTGTTGTCAGCCACCCTTGAATTTCACTAGAGACTGTACTGTCTCCTGGGATACCTAAATGTCTAAAACATATACTGTTGAATTTTCACAAAGTAGCTCATTGTCGGTTCAGTCTTGTGTGTTGTGAGAGTGGTTTGAAACCTCCTGCCCTGTGGTGGAGTTGGTGATACGATATCGACTGTGAGGCTTTGAAATCTTCTCTATCGTATTTGTCTCATGTTAAGAGCCGCTATCTTGGTCCACTAATTCTATGTCGCCACTAAATTTAGTTCCACTGATGTTGCTCTACTGATAAGGGATCCTGTGACCTCGGGCTCCGTCGAAGGAAGTAGGGTACTGCATCCGTCATGTTGAGTCCTCCGGTCAAACTGTCACAGTCATCCCAACAAAAGATGACAGACATCCATGAGAACCACGTAGCACCACACTTGGTCCTGTAGCTTACCTTCGATTGAAAACTGTACCAAGCATTTTCGGTTGATGTTAATCTGATTCACCTTCAACCACGTCAGTGAATACAACTGGGAATTCCTTTGAGTCGCAAGTATCAATTTTTCTACTATTTGTGTCGATGTCACATTCTTGCTGCTCTGTTGTCGATGACGAGGCTCCATACATTTTTTTTTACTGTGCAGCAAGTATAAAACATATTTTGGTGAAGCCACTGTGAATCTCTCATGTCCTCGATTTGCAGGATCCATCAAATCACGAGTGCTTCTGCTTCGTTTGGTGGGAGTTGATACTCCCCGCCTTATTTCTTAGCTTTCTCCTCGTCTCTCATCTCTTCCACAACACCTTGATCTGTGAGAGTGACTACCCTGCTTGTGGGACGACTGAAGACTATGTGGCTGTAGACGTTGCGTCAATAACACTCATAGTCGGTAACGTGTGAGAGGACTACCCTTTTCCAATTTCTTCCCGCTTTGATCCAAAGTGTCATTCCCTTATCCGACCTTGCCTATATCTCCCACGATACCCTTGTCAGACGTTGTAACTGTAGGTGATTGTCTGTATGAAGGTTGCTGCCAGAAGGATGATTTTTGCCTGCTCAGCTTCAGTTGTCTTTTCAACTTCAAGGCTAATGTCTGGACATTTCCCAGCGTCCAGTATAGTTGCAATTGCACCACATTGCTAATGACAAGCTTCAGTCCCACAAGATAGCAAGCTACTATATGCTCTTCCAACTCTGTCAGTTCGCACTTTAGCCGTAAGTGATTATATTGGGCTGTGAATTCCTCCACTGAAAGAGCCCTCTGCTGCAAGTTGCAAATTTTCAGAAAGATATTCTAACAATAATGGGATGGGAGGAACTTTTTCTACATTGCATTCCTCTTCTCCCACTTAGTTATCTTCTCAATGCCTTCTCTTTTCCTCTACTTTTGTAGACTTTCCCACCATTAGGAGGAGTTTTTCTTTAGTTCATTGACAGCTAGCTTGACTCTTTTGTCCTCTGGTACATCTTTATATTTGAAAATCAGTTCGACTGATTGCAGCCAGTCGATAAACTTATCGGGGTCTATACCTCCCTCAAATTCTGGGATGTTCATCTTGATGCCAAAGTCCTGTTGACCTCCATAAGGGGCCTCTTATCTTGGCTTCCTTTGATATTGGATACCAAAATGACGTGTTTGATATTCCTCGTCACTGTTATCTTTCATGTGGAACAGATTCAGATCTTCGTACCCATCTTCTCAATGACTCTCCCAAACTCGGTCGAAGGTAACCTCTTCATGGTTTCTGTCATCCAGCTCTGCTAGTCTCCGTTGCAAACAATGGACTTCTCGTTGAATCTCTTCCCGGGTATGTATCTCTTCATGGTGGCATGGTTAGGGTGAGAATTAGAAGGATAAAAAATTGATGGAGGTGGATTGGATAGAGGCAGGTGCGAGAAAACTCTAGGATGGAACTAGGGTTTGACTAACTTTGATACCAAATGATACCAAGACAAATAGAAAAAATAGTAGAAACATAAAAGCAAACTTTCATTAATATTAAAATAGGGTTGCAACATATCACAAACGGGAAATAATAATAGAAAACATAAAATGACATAAGCAAACACCTCTCAAGTGTATTTCGAAGGTGATGGAGGCCAACTAGGTGGGTTACGATGGCAAGCGGACGTGGTGGTAGCGAGAGGGAATGTGTAGAATTGCAGAGAGAGCAAATATGGAGGGACGGTTGGAAGGCACTGGACAGTAAAGGCAATGGTAGTGGGGTGAGGGACAGTCGGTTGGGAGTGCTGGGAAGGAGGGAGGATGGCTGGACAACAAAGTAAAGTTGCAGGTATGGAGCGGTTGAGTGAAGAAAATGAAGGAGAGAGGAGGAGACGATTTGGGGAAAATGAAAGAAAAGGATACAATACTATCTCAGAGAAGGATACAGTCAGAGCACCACCATCTCCTCGGATATAGCCCTAGAACAGGGAAAAGAACTCCACACAGGAGATCTAAAAACAAACACAATAAGAACTGACTCCCACACACAAAGGACAGCAATTTATACACTCCCACGAGACAAACAAAACTTCTACACAAAAATAAGGGGAAGGGAAGGCGAGAAGAATCTAGAAAATACTTCACGGGTGTGGTAGTTTGCGAAGCTCCTTCCTGAATCGCGATAGTTTGTGATCCCGCCTCTTCCCCCCCTTTGCGAAATCTTTCCTGCTATCGCGCAATGGTTCGCGGTCCCCTCAGCTTTTCGCCTCTTACCGCCTTCAAGAGAGATTGCAGGATTCTTCTCCCACCCACGATGGTTCCCAGGGTGCCCCCTACGGCAATTAGCACTTGTGCCTAAGCACTGTTTTAGCGCTCGCATTAGGGCGTTGTTAGCGCCCCGCGTTAATCAATAATCAGATAGAACTTAAAAACCAAAGGGTTTGAGAATGATGCTTATTGATCAAAGATAGCAAAACAAGATCTTGATAAGGTTATCTCCATCCCCACAACTATTTCATGCTTGCTAAATATAAGCCTAAAAATAAGCCTACGCAAAATCCCTATATGAGAGTTCAGGGATCGCCACTTCATGATTGTCACTGAAGAAGTTAGCAGTAATAGGTACTCAGACAGAGACAGGTGCTATCGTGCCTAATGCTGCATTTTTA